AGTGACATCCCTGCCCAGGCATCCCCACTGAGGCACTGGGACATCCTCACATGGGTATCCTCACCAGGGCAGTGGAGCACCCCAGCCAGGGCATCCTGCCGGGGCACTGGGGCATCCCAGCCAGCACCCGTGGTGGGGCACCGCAGTGTCCCTGCCTGGGCTCCTTGCCATTGTGCAGGGCATCCCTGCCAGGGCATCCCTGCCTGGGGGCTCTGCTGTGGCACTGGGACAACTCTGTCCAGGCATCCCTTTCAGAGCACACCAGCCAGCACCCACATAGGGGCACCAAGGGTATCACAGCCTGGGCTTTTACATGGGCACTGAGTATCCCTGCTGGGGCACTGGGGACATCATGGCACAGGCTCCTTGCAAGTGTGCCGAGCAGCCAGTCTGGGTTCCTTGCTGGGACACCAGAGCATCTCGCTACCTGGGCTCTCCTCCCAGGCATTGCTGCCTGCAGCTCCCCCATCTCCTGGGGAGATCAGGATGGGCCCTCACAGCCACATCGAGAGGGGTGCTGTACTTGTCCAGGGTCCTTTCACCCTGAAGATGGTTTTGGACTCGTGCTGGTGCTTTCCTCATCAGAAGGGATGGTTCTGCATTTAAATCCCTCAGATTCAGTGGTGAAAGTGTGGAGTTTTTCTATTTTCAAGAGCCATCCTCTCCTGTGAAGTTGTTTGGGTTTGGGGTTTTTTGTATAATGGGACCTATTCAATTCAGTGTGCACGTCCTAGAGGGGCCCCACCAGTCCATCTATTATGACTCCCTTGGTTGTCTGCCCGAAGCCTGGTTCCTGGCACCCAGTCCTCTGGGTCTGGCTGAAATGTGCAGGTAAAAATCACTTCTAGTGGCATAGTGACAGTAGTGTACCAGTGCCAGGAAGATCAGTAAATAAGACAGTTAAACAGCCTGTATCCTCCAGGTTTCTGGGTGTCTAATTTATTTTGGAGTCTCTGAGCATGGCCTGGAAATGCAGCCCCGCTCCGGCGGCAGTGAGCCAGAGGAGATGAAAGAATAAAAATCCCTTGACTCAGTCTCTGCAAGACTCATACTTTGGGACGAGACACCTTCCAAACCATGGCACTAAGCATGTGGTAAAGCCTCATTCTCTCCTAAGATTGTGGAAGTGGGGTGAGAGCTGCTCTGATCTGCGGGGCACCATGCAGCACTGCTGTCTGGGTGCTTGCTGCAGGGAAGCTGCTCAGGCCCCAGTGAGGCTCCTGGCGCAGGAAAGCCCCAGAGCGCATCCTCTGAGACAAGTGCCCAAAACCGCACAGTGGCCTTGGGGCTTTTTGTGTCCCATGTGCTATTCTTGCTACAATTGTCGTTTGATTTCCATAACCAAAAAAATAAGCTAATTTAATAGGAAAACATCAGTATGCAGCTGTGAATGCTCTACAGATATTCACCTGCAACAGAGTTTTTCAGTATATCTTAGCTCAGGCTACTGTCCTCCCAAGTGGAGAGACATCAGATTTGATGCACAAGCTGGAGCAAAGAAAGATCAGCTTCTCCTCTGGCTCTGCTGGCTCCAGAGTGCAAAGGCTGGAGGCAAAAGCAGCACTCACTCAGGAGTCCTGGGTGAGCTTTTCAGACAGCCCAGCTGTGGGCAGTCTGGCCATGGGCACTGCTTCAGATTTTCAAGGCAGAAGAGCTCCAGACTGCATGTATGAAGGGAAGCCTTAGAGGTGCGAGTAAAACTGTCTTAAAATTCGGTGGGCAAAGCACCAGGGTGCAGGGCTGCTCCCTGGGGCATGTGGCTGGGACCCCCTGGGCTCCAAGTGCTCTGCTCTGACCCCTCCAACGCTGCTCCTCTGTGTTTCCACACTGCCGCTGCTCCTGGTGAACCTGCAACACCTCCAACCCTGCTTTCCCCCTTTGCCCTGAACCTCAGGTCAGGTAGAGAGGCAGGTTAGAGAGAGAAGAAACTGCTGATGCTTCAGAATGAATCCCTGTTACCTGGGGCAGGGGGGAGGATGTGGATCTCAAGAGTCTTCACTCCCCTGTGCCTGCTGCCAGCAGGTGTGTGAGAGCCTTCCAGAAAGACTGCAGGGACAACAGAGCCAGGCGCCCTGGGTAAGGGGGGATCTCCAGGCACTGGAGTACAAAAACTCATTTCTGCCAGATACCAGAAATAATCCTTCCTAGGCTCGAAGGCTGGGAAAGTTTGCAGGGTTTCCTTTTCTTTGCCCAGACCACAAAACTTCAACCAAGGGAAATGGGTTTGGCTGGGATAGCTCACACTGTGTCACTTGTCATCAGTGTGGCTGTCTGGGAAAACACGGACAGAACCTGGCTCCCAAAGTTTAGTTTGGTCTTATCTCACTTGTTGAGCTTTAAGTTACAGCCACTGCTACAACGATCAGATTTCACAAACTGATGAAATCTGAATACATATATGCATAACCTGAAGCCCAGTATGGAAGAGAGGACCTTGGAGCACCCTGGCCTTCAACTCAGTGTCCACATTTGTACAAAGAGCCTCTAAGTACTTCTGAGCTCCCAGACCAGCTGTGTCCCTTTCCAACCAGGACATGACTTGAGGGGACACTGGAGCAGGTCCAGCCTTGCTTTCAGGCCAGGTCACCGATGAGCAGCCCCCCTCCTCTGAGCCACTGGCAGGGATGTGGGTGCTGGCAGGTCTGCGGTGCCGCAGCAGCCTCGGAGCGGCTCTGTGCTGAGCCAGGAAAGCACCTGGCACCGATTCAGTCCCTCCAGGAAGAGCATTTATTTAGATAATGCCGTGACGTGCCATCCAGCGCTGGTTGCCTCGCACAGCTGGGCAGAGCAGTGCCATGAACAGACCTACGGCTGTAGACCAGGTACTGTCTGTCTCTCCATTTTAATAGTTCCTTGCTCAGCTAACGCAGTGCTACCCTGGGGGTGGGGAGGAAGAACTGAGCAGGGACAGATCCCAGCAGGGCAAACCTCACATTGCTTCAGGGAGCACAAGGAATCGGACCCGGCGATAGAGAAAAGCAGGTCTGAGTGCCGGCGCAACACGGCCCCAGCTGCTCCAGCACCTACTCTCCACTCCCCGTGTGGAGCAGACCAGAGTCAGGGGCTTCTCTTTGCTTCACCAGAAAACTCACTTTTGCTGAGGAGGAGTCAGTGCTCTGGCTCGCAGCACCCGGCCGTCGCTGCCGGAGGAAGGGATTTGCTGCTCAGCTGCAGTGTGGATGGCTCTTGGAGTGCAAGAACAAACAGATGAACGGCTTCTCCTTCTAGCTACTGTTACCAGAGACTCCTGAAATGTATGAGCCTGTGCGCTCTCCTCTACACCTCTCAGGTAAAGGGAACAGAGTTCTCTCTAAATGCAGTTATCACTCTTCTCTGTGTATCTCTCCCTTAGCAGGGGAAGCATCCTAAAACTTTAAACATTTTTATGAAGATATCTTTCATCCTGCAGCTGAAAGAGGCTCTGAGATCTCAAAAACCAGGGCTGAGGGTCAAAGCCATGAGGGTTTAGAGACGACCAAGAGAAATTATGTTCCCCCTGCCTGGAGCAAGGCAATGCCCTCCAGCATGGACGTTTCTGCGCTACAGCAGCCCCTCGGGACCCGGGGCAGCTGCCTGGCTCTGCTGGGTGCCAACGTGCTGCCTGTGAAACACGGGGTGCGACCGGCCCCGTGCTCTGGGCTGTCTTCTAAGCCTGGGCAGCGAGCCGATGGCCACCACACCCTGGGCATTCGCTACAGCAGCTGCCATCCCAGTTTTGCATGGCCCTTTTTGCAGTGAGCAAATGCCTCCTGCCTGCAGCCTGCCTGGCAGGCAGCTGCTGCCTGGCAGGTCTCTCCTGCCCGCAGCCCTGGGCAGCAGCACCGGCCCCGGCTCCGGCAGCTCCCTGGTGCCATCTCGTGGTTAAATAACTTCTCCGGAGCAACCCTATTTCTGTCCTGCCGCTGCTCTTCCACTAGAAAGGAAAGAAAACCTCCAGTATTAATTTTTAGCAGGCTATTTCTGCATGTCTTTGCACAGGCAGATGCCTGCAACTTTGGGTAAAAGCGCCGGTCGGTGCTGCCTTTTCAGAAGGGGCCGAGCAATGTGTGTCTTACCTGACCCCCATCACATGGGGATGTTTTTACAACCTCATAACCTCCTATTTCTGCAGAACAGCTCGCTGCATTTCGCACCCAGGATGGCGAAGCCTACATGGTTGACGCTTACTGCCTCACCTCGGGGCTAACCTCGCCGCCAGCGGGCGCGTCGTGGGCGATTGCATCGAATGCCCGTTTCATGGCTGGCAGTTTCGAGGAGAAGATGGAAAATGCACCCGCATCCCATATGCTGGAAAAGGTGAAGGTCCCCCAAATCTGCAGAAAGCATCCCCAGAAAAGGTAGTGCCTTGTGTGTCCTCATTAAAAGCTACTTCATTAAGGAAAAGTGGTCTTTATAATAACTCACCCTCCATCCTGCTCCTCTATTTCATGCAGCACCCTAATTTTCCTCCTGGGTTGTCCATGTTGGGGCATAATGTTCCAGTGCCCTTTCCTATGTTAGATGATAACTGGGACTTCAGTCTAGTTAAATAACCACCCCTGATTTTGATAGTCCTACAACTCGTGCATTCAGCAAGCAGGGTATAAAAGATTTTTAACTCTGAGTCACCCATTGCACCAGCAGGGATGGATCCTGAGGAGCCACTGGGTTTCAGGAATGATTCTGTACTCTATAGTGATAGCTTATACCATGTCAGTGATACATCTGTCGTATTAGCATGACAGAATAGTCTCTCGATGGCAATTTTTTTTCCTTTTAAGGCTCGAAGGGAACTTTTGGTTAGAATCCAGGAAAGCTCTTCGCATACACCTACCATTTAGATGTGGTTTGCGTTGACTGTGTAGGAAGAGTATCTTACTTCAAGTTCACATGTAACAATTACTTGATCTGGCTCCACTTAGTTTAAATCACCAATTCTAGATGTGGCTGAAACCAGCAAACAGACTTACCTTGAGTTTTGCTTTGGCTTGTTCTTCTTAGTTTTTTTCCTGAGAAATTCAACTTTCTCTGATTGGGATTGATTGGGATAGCAATGAAAACATTGATTAGCAGCAGAAGTCAGTCTTTCTACTAAACAGACTATTTTTCCCAAAAATGAAAGAAACATTCCATCTATATGGGATAAGATAAACAATTTATAGATCTCAGCAAACAGCAATTCCTTTTGTGTGTGTGTTATTTTCAGAAAAAACGATTAATACTGTATTTTTTTCCCATACATACTCAGTCAGGAGCTGCATTCAAATGAAAATTTGGTTCCAAGTAATGAACAATGATGTGTTTCATCACAAAATGAGAATGAATATTCTGGATATACACAAACACTTGCCAAGGTCCATTGTTTCATCTGAAATGGCTGTATTCAGAGTCATTGTCATCTGTAGTTATTAAAAGAACGAAACTGCAGACAGCTGCTCTGCTCCCAGTACAGCCCAAATGGGTCAGGTTGATTTAAACAGATTTAAAAGCTGTGTGTGCTCATGCAGGTCACTTTGACAGAGAGGTATTTTGGAGAGCTCAGATGGGCAGCTCCTCCAGCACCGGGCTTGCAGGGGACCGACAGCCGGGCAGGAGAGCCACAGAGCCCAACCTGGTGCTAGATGAGGCTGGTGAAGGGTCTAGAGCACAAGTCTGATGAGGAGCGGCTGAGGGAACTGGGGTTGTTCAGCCTGGAGAAAAGGAGGCTGAGGGGAGACCTCATCGCTCTCTACAACTCCCTGAAAGGAGGCTGTAGCGAGGTGGGGGTCGGTCTCTTTTCCCAGGTAACAAGCGAAAGGACAAGAGGAAATGGCCTCAAGTTGCGCCAGGGGAGGTTTAGATTGGACATGAGGAAAAATTTCTTCACCGAAAGGCTTGTCAAGCATTGGAACAGGCTGCCCCGGGAAGTGGTGGAGCAGAGAACTGGTTGAGTCACCATCCCTGGAGGTATTTCAAAGACGTGCAGACGTGGTGCTTAGGGACATGGCTTAGTGGTGGACTTGGCAGGGTTAGGTTAACGGTTGGACTCGATGATCTCAAAGGTCTTTTCCAACCTAAATGATTCTATGTGTCTATGTCTGCGTGGGGGCAGATGAAGCCCTCTTTAAAATTTAATGAGATGCATCCCGCCCAAAGCACCAGCTTTTTTCAATTAGAAATCGCAGCGAAGGTGTCCTCCTGCCCCCTCTGATATTCACTGACTGAATGAGAAACATAATTTCTCTTATTATTTCACCTCCCACATGACTGTACAAGGCTGAATAATAAGGAAGCGCTATCCTCTGTGCTTGTTTGCAAATTAGAAAAAAAAGTAATGAAAGTGAAAGCCTTCCAATCCAGTGGAAGCTACATTTTCTGACAATTGGCTAAATATAAATGCCAAAATAAATTTCACTGGAAAGAGTTTTTTTTTTAAGCAACACATGATACTGCAGCACTGTAACAGAGAATGACTTGAACTCGGGAGGTGGAGATGGCATTTACTCTCTGCACATCTATAACTAAAAGCATCTCCTTTTAGCTCATTGAAACTTGAGGAGGGTCCATTGATGCAGCAGACATTTACTTATTTGAACAGTTTTAAGAGCAGTGAAGGAAGGCTGCAGAGCAGCCAGCCGTGCTTCTTCCCTAAAAGACTTATGCAAAACACCCAACTGAAATAGAACCGATTTAAGCAATCTCTCTTCTGTGAACTTCAGAAGCTGTTGTCCTTCTTCAGCAGCCTGAAAGCTGGCAAGTGCCACCAGAGAGTCTGTGCCACAGGGATATAGCCCACAAAGATGATCTCTGAGCTGTGGTTCAGGACGAGGTGACCCTTAGCGCCAGCGTCAGCCTCGGAGATACCACTTTTGACTGAATCCTTTCTTTCCTCCGCAGTGCCAGGTGCTGCGAGGGTCCGGACCTGGCCGTCCTGCGAGGTGAATGGGATGCTGCTGGTCTGGTACCACTGCGAAGGGGTCGGTCCGAGGTGGGCAGCGCCCGAGCAGCAGGAGATTGCCACCAAAGAGTGGGCGTTCCGCGGGCAGACAGAGCACCTGGTCGACGTGCACATCCAGGTAGGGAGCCCGGTCTCTCCGTGGGGCACGTCCCTGCCTGGGTCCTCTCCTATAGTCCAGTCCAGGGACATCTCCTCCCAGTTAACCCACTGAGGGACATCTCCTCCCAACTAACCCAATTAGCCCTGCCTGCGCCCAGTGTCATCGCTGCTGCTGACAGAGCTCAGACCTAGAAATACATTCCTGCGCCGTATACCGAGAGTACGGCATATGTTCCCCAAACACGGATTGTGGGCTTCTTGAGTAGAGAGCAGATGTTCTGAGTACTTAAAAGGAATCTGTTAATTTGCTTTGACTTATAACTGATGTAATTTAAAAAAAGATTCTCTAAGAATTTGCGGCACTTAGTGTCAGGAGGCTTTTCAACTCATCGATCACCGAAATGGAAACGCGCGCTTATTTTGCTGTTAATCTTCATAATCACCATCACACGCTGACAAATGTGCCACGGAGAACAAAATGGCTGTTGCCTCCATCACCTCTCAGTGGAAATGAGGCTGGAAAAGGGGAACTGTTAGAATCATAGAATCATTAAGGTTGGAAGAGACCTCTCAGATCATCAAGTCCAACCGTCAACCCAACACCCCCATGCCCACTAAACCATGTCCTTAAGCGCCTCATCTACACGTCTTTTAAATACTTCCAGGGATGGTGACTCAACCCCTTCCCTGGGCAGCCTGTTCCAATGTTTAACCACTCTTTCAGTAAAGAAATTTTTCCTCACATCCAATCTAAACCTCCCCTGGCGCAACTTGAGGCCGTTTCCTCTTGTCCTTTCGCCAGTTACTTGGGAGAAGAGACCAACACCCACCTCGCTACAACCCCCTTTCAGGTAGTTGTAGAGAGCGATGAGGTCTCCCCTGAGCCTCCTCTTCTCCAGGCTAAACAACCCCAGTTCCCTCAGCCGCTCCTCATCAGACTTGTTCTCCAGACCCCTCACCAGCCTCGTTGCCCTTCTCTGGACACGCTCCAGCACCTCAACGTGGCAACATTCTGTGGCACTAAACAGAAGGGATTGCGGCCGTGGTCCTTGGAGGGAGCCGGGGGCAGCCACAGGTGGAGGCTCCTCTGGGAAAGCGATGGGAGGCAGCAGCAGTTTTGAAAATGGGCAATCCCTTGGGATTTTGGACCTTGGGAGATTTTTATATACTTGCCACTGAGCAGAACACTTCTACTTGTAAAAATCAGTGACAAAAATGACCCTTAATCTAAAGCACACGCCTCTCCAAAGGCAGTGCCTGCCTGCTGACTAAATCACGACTAAGGTGAGTGGGTTAGGAAGAGATGAGAATTATTAAAAGAAATGAAGAAGGTGCATGAGACACAGGAGATGCGGCTCTGGGAGTGGGCAGAGATGTGAGAAGCAGGGAGAATTTGGGAGATTGATGGGTTACTAATATTTATTTCATGTCTGCTTTTCAGTGCAAACCACTGTACACAGGTCTATACTGGGGCCAGTCTGCGCTACTTGCCAAGCTGGTAGACAGCTGGTGTATTTGAGTAATAAAGCAGTTAAAACTTCTCAAAAAGTGACATATTGTGGGCAGGCTGGTGAGATTTAAGGGTTTTAAAATACGTGAAATCTAGTCTAGGAGCACAAACACAAAAATGCTTTATTCCTTACAGTTATTACATGGCCAAAGGAAGGGCTCATTTGAGGTCCCAGCTTGTGTGGCTGCAGAAGTTAACATGCATAGACTTCTTTGAACTTAAAATTAACTCTGAGTTTTCTGAGCTTCATGTTTAAATTATTCCTACACACTAGTTAAGAACTAGTTCCAGGTCAGTCTGTGCTGAGGCCCCTTCCTCCACTCATTCGGTTGCCTCTTGCTGTGTCATGTACCTGCGAGCATCTCTGCTATGCTCGGAGCGACGTGCTGGGCTGTACTGCTCGTGCTATTGCAATACTGCTGTTAATACAGGCAGCTCGCACCCAAGTCAGCTCTTGCCAATGGCAAATTGTTCCCCGATGGCAGAAAATCCCCGAGAACGCGGCCGACACGGCTCACCTGGCTTTTCTCCACGGACCAGCTATTCTGGGCGGTTCTGATCTGAGATATACGAGGTCCAAGCTGTGGGATTTTATGAAGCACATCTGGAAGGTAAGACCCTAGCTCCCCTCTTAGCCATGAGGAGGTCGAAGTCTTTCAAACCAGGTCCACTTTCTGCCTCAGAGCATCAGTCCCACCTCATCCCCTCTGCCTCATCCCCCCCGTCTTCAGGTCCAGTCTCTTTTCTGTGTCTCTGAGGGTTTTAGCTGCACTCCCTCATCTCTGCTCATCTCTAGATGGTTTTCACCACCTCACTGCTACTTCCCCTCAATCTGTACTCTCCATCTTGGACTGAACCGATCCTTCTCCACCCCTGCAGGCCAAGTGCCGGCCGGAGCCGGAGCCCAACGAGCATTGCTCCTGGCTGCTGGTTCAGCACATCGCAACCATCTTCGGGAAGCACGTCTCCTTGATGGATTTGGCGGTTTCAGCCAGGCGGGTATGTCCCACGCTGGAGACCACCAGCACCCTGAGCTGAAGGGCTTTGTCACCTGAAAGGCTAAGTGAGTCCTTGCCCACCCTGCCCAGTGCAGCCTTTCCTACCAACTGCATCAGACACACGGGCCGAAACTACACACTGGCATTGGGGCTGCTCGGAGAAAAGGGAGGGTTCGTAAGGACTGCTGTGCCCGTAAAACAACTTAAAACTAAAACTAAAAAAAATAAATAGCTAGTACCTGAGCAAACACTGGTGACAATCCCGAGGGACCTTCACACCACATTGTCACAGCGCTTTACAATACAGGAGTGTGGACCTTTTCAGTCCATGGGGAACATGGGGAACATGCCTATGAAAGGTGTAGAGAGCACTCAATATACAGCAAGAAACATTTTGAGGATGTTGATCTGTGTGATCCAAAAAACTCAGGGTTTTTCAGACAACTTTCTGGAAAGCACAAAGATTTGGCAGTTTACAAACATTTACGCTAAAGAAATAAATTCATACTGATGTCAAGAGCTCCTTCTGCTATTAAAAGTTTGTTAATTTTCTTATTTTATTCCTTTCTTGTGTTTTTGGTTTTTGTTTTGGAAACATGTTTATTAACCACGCTTCTCTTTCCCCTCTCCACTTCCAAAAAATCAGAAACAGTGTCTTGTAGCCCAAGATCAGCCCTCAATGAGATAATAAAGTAGTTGACACAAATTGATAAAGAATTAAAGGAAAATAGAAATAACGCCTCTAAACATAAATCAATGGGAACTAGATGTTCTCACTTTCATTTTTGGTTGTGGTTTTGGGTTTTTTTATGAAATGCTAAGCTTGCCTGATAAAATTAGTAACTTTGTTCTAGCACATTTTCGAAGGCATTTGACCTATTCCCATATTACAAACTCAGAACAATAGCAAAACAAATCATGATACAAAACTTTGATAAGGAATAGATCTCGGTATAATTAAGGAATTATCACAAAGTGGATGTTGATTGTATCTCTGTTCAATTCTTAGATCTGTGCTATTTAGCACTGATATCAATGAACAGGAGAAAAAAGACATTAAAATAACCTTACAAAGAGTTTGCACCCAACCAAACATTAAAGGACTAGTAAATAAAGTAGCCAAAAAAACCCAGCAGTATCTGCACTGCTTCAAAGAACCGAGTGTATGACCATGCATCTGTGTGTCTGGATGCACGTCAAAGAGCAGAGAACAAGTACTTCATGTCATGCAAGATAAAAGGCTGAACCTAATTTCAGTTGAAACCTAATGTGACTGTTGTAGCTGCAAAGGAGAAAGCCAGAGCAGGAGCAGGGATGTTGTATTACCTCCATAGTGTATTGCAGTCGCTGCTGCTGAGATCGGAGCCCAGGACTGGTGTCAACAATCCAATAAGGCTGTTGATGACCTGAAGGTAATTCAGTGATGAACAGCAAGACCAAGTGAAAATTTGGAAGCATTTCCTAGAAGATTAGATTTTAAACTTTTGGGACCTGTAGAGCACTGTAAACCCCCATGAATTCCCATGGGCCCACAGCAAAGCCGTCCAGGCCTGGCATGTCCCAGGCCAATACGGGCTGCCTGGCTCTGCTGGATTTCCCCTGACCTGGGGAGCATTAACAGTTGGCAAGCAGTCTGTGACTCATGGCCCTGAGGCGCAGCTTGACTTTGTGCCTATTATCTGATGAAAGACAGAGTGAAGGGGAACTTGAGCACAGTCTAGGAGACATCCGCAAGGAGGTCTCAAGCTGTGGGAGTTGCTGTACCACAGCAAGGTCCAAGGGCTGGACCACCGGGGACTGTTCCCTGAGGCTGCTCTGTTGCACTGCAGGTGGGGTCAGGGCTGGTTTTCCTGATCTTTGAACACGCTTTCCTGGGCCATGGGATCATCCTGCAGATGGTGACTCCCCTGGAGCCTCTCCTGCAAATGTTGCTCACAAAATCTACTACCGGAAGAACGTGCTGGCCATGATCCCCAAGTTCATCCTGAGAGCAGAGTGCATACAGGTAAGGCCTCTGAAGAAGAGCAGCCAAAGGTGGTCCCCTGGAGCTTGGTGGCTAAGAGGTGTGAGAAGGAAGAGCAGTTGCCCATGTGGGCTCAGATATATGTGGGAGGAAAGCACTCGTGGGCAAGATCCTTCCAGTGCTTGGTATGATCTTTCAGTTTCAGTAGCCCAAACAGCTACACTGGAGGTTTAGTGAAGAGGGTCCCTGCAGTGGCTCAATCTGTTGAGGATGGCAGAGAGGTGCTATCCCCCTCCTGTGCATGGGGAACTGACGCACAAGGATTAGGCAACCTCTCCCAAACTGCAGGAAGTCTTTGAGAGAATAACTGCATCCGGATTTCCATCATCCCAGGTCAGTGATTTAAGTTCATCCTACCTCCTTTGGTGAGAACTGAGCCAAGAAATCCTCCTGCTGTTAAATTCCAAAGAGATTGGGCAACTCCTGACAGAGGTTTTCCGGGTCCTTAACCACAGGGATTCATGGAAGTGGTGGAAGGTCCCTCTGGAGGTCTCCAGTCCAATGTCCCCATTGGGGCAAGACTATTGCCAAGTTCAGGTCAGGCATGGCCTTGAAGGCCTCCTCCTTTGGAGAACGCCCCCATCTCTCCAGCTCCCTGGGTGTCCCATTCCACTGTTGCTCTACCCACATTGTTAATTTTTATTTTTAATGTCCATTTTGAACTTCTCAACCTGCAATCTGTGGCTGTTACTCCTTGTTACACCAGCTGGCACTACCAAGAAAAATCTGACTCCATCATCCCTCTAACTCCCTTCAAGCACTCAGAAGAGTTCATGTCATTCCCTTCTGTCAGGGGTTAAAGCTAGGAAACTGGCCTGACCAGAGTGAGTTTCACTGGCACTACAGTAAAAACTGCCAGAAGATGATTTTCAGATGCCAAAAACCTACCCCAAATCAAACTTGGCTGTGCTAGCTCATATCGTGTAAATGCTGGCTTAATATTATGCATTCTTACTGACGTGAATGAGCAGCACTCATTTCTGCAGACCTCTTCACAGAGGAAAACCCCATAAATCTTATTGCATGTGTGTCTGAGCAGAATTTAAGATGCAGAATTTACGATTTTAATTTATAAATTTAATTTATAAAGCCCTGGTTGGCTGGAGCTACCCAAGGAATCAAAAATCTCAGGTGGCGCAGCTCCTACCTACACAACATCCATTTCTTTTTCAGTATCTCCTATGACAAAGGCAGTCTAAGATCAAAGTGGCTTCTTGTTTGGGAGCTATGATGGGCTAAAGACCTGCTAAGTGCAGCCAGAGCCGTAGTGTTACAAATAGCAGTCCTACACTGGCCATTTGCGAGAAACGCTAAAAAATAAACCTAGTGTCAGGTAGCACGCACAAACCTGCTGGTTCAGCTTCCACACCTGAATAAGACCCTCCTTCTCCCCCCAGTTTGAGTGTGATATGGCCATCTGGAATAACAAACACTATCTGCCCAAGCCGCTGCTGGTCAGAGAGGACTCCAGCATCCAGAAGCACCAGCGCTGGTATGCCTAGTTCTACAGCGAGAAAAGCACAAGGCTCCCAGAGCAGAAGGAGGGCCTGGACTGGTGAGGACCTTGCTACCCACTGCAGAAGGTGGCCAGAGGCTCTCAGGTGGCTCCTGCCCACCCTGGCTGGTGGGCAGTGGTGCTGGGCAGGCATGATCAATAAAACAACTATTGGCACTAGCACAGGGAGCAGAGCCTGAGCCCTGAAGATCTTCTCTTACCTTCCATGTTCAGGGCGTCAAAGTTCAAAGGGTGTACCATGCTTGCTCTTGTACCTGGGCTGGAACATATGAGCTGAGTGTGAACTTAAGATTGCCAGAACTCCCTTTAAAGTGCCCTTGTCTCTCACTGCTGCTATAATTTTGAGTAGTTATATGAAAAGCTTTTCATGTGGCCTTTTATTGCCTGAAGTGTCCTTTCCCAGCCAGGCCTGCTGTTGCTTCTGCACCACCACCTTGGCTGGGGCAAGCTTCAGCTCTCCAGGGGAGCCTTGGCTGATGTCTGCACGGCATCAGAGGTGTGATTCCAAAGCCCACAAACGTATACCGTCTTCCTTCTCTCTGGCAGCAGGCAGGGCAGCATGGCTTTTAGCTGCCCACCAAGCCCTTACCATACCTTTGGGCTTCCTCAAGCCTACTGAGCTCTTGCATGAGTCAATGCCTGATGGAGCACCTAGTGGGAAGCAGAGGGACTATCCTGGTGATCAAATCACTTAGACTGACAACAACTCTGTAGGTCAAGGACGTGAGTAAGATCCTGCTTTGGTAGCCCCTGGATTCCAGCAATACCCTGGTACACAGTTGGCTGTAAAAATTTGTGTCTCATGGCAAGACCATAGGTACCACTTACTGTCACCGCGATCAGAAATGAAGCTAACACATGGAAACTAGGCTGCAAATCTGGTGAAAACTAGTCTAGATTCTCCTGTGCTTTGTGTCTAGACGCTCTGTATTGGAGAGTTAAATTCTGCCTCACTGCATGCCCTGGAGAAACCCATAATCTCCATAGAGAGAGCCTGCCTCGTACAGTTAGCAGGACTCTGGCAGTTACTCTATGCCAAGAGCAAGCAAGAGCAAATGCTCAAATCCAGGAGCTTTCCAAGGAGGCTGGTAGCTGCTGCTCTCAGGCGTATGGTGCGCTTGACTGTGCCTTGTGAATTCTGCACTTTGCTGAGGCTTCTGGTTCCTCCTTCACCATTAACTCATAGAGCAGGAGCCGGGAGCAGGAACATGCCACCGCAGCCCTCTGCCAGTGCAGAGTCCATCGCCCACCCTGGCAGCATTCCCAGATGACGGTGTGCAGTTGTGCCTTTGCCATTCACATCTGGATATTGCACTGTCAGTATTTCACTATTAAATTTTTTTAAAAACTGATCTCACGTTCATGGTTTGTTGCTCTTCACTGTTTTGTGGGGTGTTCTTGCATGGGAGAAGCAATTCTGCAGCTGGACCATGCTGTCCTGCTTCAGGAGCCACAGAGAATATCCAGCAAGGAACTTAAGGAGCTAGCAGGAGCTAGCAGGACCATTGCTGAACCCAACAGCCTGAGAGTCTCAGGGACCTGAGAGCACTAACATGTCTTAGTGGCCCTGACCAGCCTCACCTGGGGCATTCATCCACTCCCTGCCCATGGCCCAGGACCCCCACTTCAGCTCTGTCCCTGTCCTGAGCTATGCTATAGGAAGTCTCCAGCTCAGCCGCAGACATGCCCATGCCTGGGTGATCCAAACTCTGACCACAGATTGACTTCCCAGCTTGACCTCCACCCTCTCCCACCACCGTGGACCTGCCCAGTGATTGCTGTGCTGTGTCTGACCCTGGCTACCCTCACCAGAATCCGATCCGAGCTGCAGATTTACTTCCCAGCTTCACCTCAGATCTGCCTCACCACCATGAGCTTGCTCCATGATCTGGACTCTTGGTTGAGCCTGGCCATGACCTCTGGGCCTGCCCTGCCTGTCCCGCTCAGGGGCGGTGGGACACCCCTCGGCTCCCAGCACCCCATTCCTTAGGGAGCAGCTGCCCTCGCAGTGACGGGTGATGGAGAAGCAGCAACAGGCAGAAATTGCAGCTACCAGGACAGAGAGATTACCGTACATAGAGTGGGTCAAGATGTATTGTTCACCCACACATTCAAGGGGGCACATGGCCACCCCCCCACCACCCCCCCACCCCTGTACAGAGGCTTTACCTGCACAGCACCCCTCTAGGTCTGTTGTGCAACACACCTGGGCTGTTGCTCCCCGCTCCTCACCGTGTTCCCACGTGCAGGATCTCAGGATCTGAGGATCCTGCTCAATCCTTCCTTGTTGCTCCTCCAAGGAAGGCAAATTGTTGAAGATCAGATTAGAGATGGCGAGTTAAATTAGCTTTCCTAGATTCAGTCCTTCTGAAATTAGAAGAAACCATGGGATACCTCCAGCAGAGCCTGAATTCTGAGCTACCATTTTCCTTCACTACTAAGGCTAAAGTAGTTGTGTCCTGTTAAGGCAGAAATTAGAGAATCAGGAAATAAGACAGGATTAGCTTAAGGCTCTTATGTTTCCATTTGCAATCTTATCCTTTTAAATGGGTCTAGCAGTAAGGACAATGTAGTGCTGGGAGACACCGGCATGCCAAGGAGCACTGTCCTCCAGTCTTGTATGCCTTTTGGCCATACGTTATCCACTTTACGTTTTTACGTTTTCAAACAAATCCTAACCTCCTAAGGGTTAGGATGCGAGGGCATCTAATCTTATTGTTTACTGAAATCACTTTTACATCAAAGCTACTGCAAAGCTACAGCCATTCTTACTATTATATTCTGATAGTTGTATTTATTATTATGGCTTATCTTCACACTTGACTACTAGCCAACAGAGTTTATCCAATTGCCAGACCTATCGTCATTCCATGTCTTTAGGTTTTGTTTTTTCCCAACTAACAAATTCACTACAAATTTCCTAATTCTCAAGCGGAGTTATTTTTCACTTTTTTTTTTTTGAGGGGGGGTGAGGGGCAAGGTTAGAAAACCCCAAAGGATATCAAAACAGGTCAAAGAAAAGGGTACATGAAGGGTGACGTACAACGTACCTTGGATTTTTCCAGTGGCAGGCTTGGGCTCCTTCTCCTTTGAATCCCGGTCCGTGTACTTGCTCCAACTGGGACAATTCCCCGGTCATTTCTCGTTTGTTTGGAGATGGGTCCTGGAGCTCTGAACAGCATCAGCAAGGCTGCGTTCCTGCATGCAAAACTGCCAGTGATCCCCACTCACCATCACATCTTTGTGACCCTGTGAGACACCCCGGTGCAGGTCAAGACTGACATAGCCTCTAGGCAAAGACTTCTGTGCCCTTTCATATTTTGGCTCTCATTGTAAGTAGCTGTCAAGGGCCTTGTCTTGTGGAAAGGGGTGAACCTGCTCAATGCCTGAATGCCTCTTTTCTCCTGGGGTGAAAGCAAGTTTGCAGGTGGATCTGCTGATACAAGTGAAAATCTCTGACCACGCTGGGCAGAAACGTGGTACGTGTGAGTTTTGGGACTATCTTGCCCAGCATCAGCTTGCATTGCTTTAGCAGCATAAAAGCCAGCTGAGCTGAATCTGTCCTGGTGGTTTGAATACAAAATACTGCATTACAACACACCGACCAAGCCCTCCAGTTGGCCAAGTAGTCTTGGTTCACTTTCTGCTACATATCATGTCTCACTGGTGAGAGAGGAGCAGGTTCACTGCACTGGCAACCAAGCGTGAGACAGAAGATGCTCTGGAAAGTGCTTTAGGGAGTTTTGGATGCACAAGGGATGCAGGGAGAAGCCCACTGCAGAGTTTTACGGCTCATGAGGTCCATCAAAGAGACCGCTGCTCAGATTTAGGTCACTTCGATGGACGTTTTCCCTCTTCACAACAAGACACTCGGCACTGGGTGATGTCCCATTCATGTGCTTGAAAAATAGAAAACCCCAGACACTTTTTTTTCCTAAAGGTTGTTTTATTGTAAAACCATAAATACAACACTGACATGAAAATCCTCAAGCAACGGATGCTTTCTTACAGTTACAGTTTGTCTTCTGCCTTGGCATCAACTCTGAAAAGAATGTTGCAGAAACATGTCTCTAAGGTACCTCCAAATAACTGAGCTCTGGCCTGGAGCGCTCAGCTCGTTTGGAAGCTAAGTGGAACTATTCCTCCTCTCTTGTGGAATATTTCCATTCAGACAGCAACAGACTTGTAAAAACAGCAACATTTAAACACCTTGATTTTTTTTTTTTCTTTAATAATCCTTTTCATTTGACGTCAGTCTAAGTTTCAAACAGCACTGAATTTATTTAGCTGTAAAAAAAACAAAACAAAACAAAACAAAATCCTAAAAAGAAAAAATCAGAAGAACTTGAGTTGGCCTCAAGTGTTCATATATCACAATGAAAATCAGCAACTCAACCCCGTGCAATATTGCTCTCTATTGAGTCATTCGATCCACACCAACAATACATGAGACTTCAAACAGGTTTTGTTTTGTTTATTAACACAGCAAGTGTGACATTAGATAACCTTTTAAATACAGTACATGGTACAGTGCGGGGCCAGCTGCCCGCACTTTTCCCCATTATGAAGACAAAGCCAGCGGTGGCGGTTTATAAAAATATTGTGTTGCTACAAAAGTATAAATTAATGCTACCGGTATTAAGAAATATTAAACACATAAAACTTATAAGGATTAAGAAAAATATTCATTAATACCTGTAGAAAACTCTGGCCTAAAAAAGATATTTTTTGTATATTTTTTGTATATTTTTTTGTATTTTTTAAGATGACATGAGATTCTTGCACTCGCAGGTAGAGACACACGCAGGTGCATCTGTGGTATTGCCTAGAACATCTGCATCTACAGAAAGGAAGGAAATGCACACAAGTTACTGAGGGGAGGGAGGGTGAGGAGGGAAAGGAGAACATTAATTGTTTGCTTGATGAAACAACAAGAATTCAGCTCCCAACAGGAGGTTTCAAAAAACGAACATACGAACGAGGAACAGCTTCTCTTTTCAGACTGGCTGCAAACAAGGATTTCCTGATGGTTTGGTTTGTTGGCATGACACTTTCTAGCTACGGCGTGGACCAGAATCCTCACGGTCTGGATGGTGTGCGTTCCTCCTGTACTTACAGCCTTGGCTAGTCACCTGTCACGAATGTTTCAGTTCATCCGTTATCAGTTTTCCTTTTAAATAATTAAAAAAAATAAAATTAAAGTCCCAATAAGTTTAAAGGGACAATGGAAAACAGCTCCTAAGACGTTGCTCCTTCGATAATACATGCCTCCTTCCTTGAGCGGAAAGGTCCTTCTCCACAGATAGCAAGAAAAACAAAAAAAAAACCACCCTCCTCCCACCCCCCAGCCCACTGGAAAAAAAAATACCATCCTATCCACACACATTGCAGAGACCGCCACAAGAACCCCCAGAAGACTGAAAACAAGCATTCAAGGCTGATGAGGCTGGGAAATGTCTTTTTAAGGAACTTTGGTTGTAAAAAGCAAGGGTTTGACATGCCTGTACTCATCAACTCCACTGTAAAATATTCCTGTCGTTAAGGCTGCGCTGCTCACCCGGGTACCAAGACATGCTGACCACTGTCAATGACGCTAGAACGACGGGAAGGAAGAAAATCCTTTCAGTCAGTGGTTGATGTTGTGCATCAATGAGCCATTTACGTGACTCATTTCAGAAGCTATTCTAAAAAATTCAAACTCAGCTGCCTACAGATCATTAAACCCGAAAGGGTCTACTGGATGCACCGTTGTCTAATGTGAGCAAAACTCTTCCGTCAAGTTACAAAACAAAGGACTCTAACAGGAGTAGTAAAAAACCCAACTAACCAGCCAAACAAAAAACAAAATTAAACAGAAATTCCCCAAACATTGAATATATAAAATTAAATTTCAGGGCAATACACTCTCATTGGTTTACCATTTCTGGCCTAGCATAAGCAAACTATCCCACAGTACTAACGAGGCATTCAACTTGGAGCTGTGCTTGGGTTTACCTCTCTGTATTTTCATTATTGTTTGTTTTGTTCAGTGACATTTCCAGAGGCCCCAGGAAGATGATAACCCGTGGCATGGGGACAGGTCCCATGCACTGTAAAAAGGGAGTTCTTATTGCTACGGGGCGACATCTTCAGAAGTATCTGACACAGGACCTTGAGTCTCAGCCAATGTTTCTAGCCTGGGCATTCCCAACGGATCCCACGGATTCAAGATCATGGTGTAGCACAGAAAATGCACAGCAGAAGCAGCAAAACATTTAATATTCTCCCCCACCCCGATTCTTTCACCTTGGCAGTATAAGGGTTGACAAGACATCTGCTCCTCAACTGGTGTTTTCTCCTCTGCCCCTTCTGCCGGCCAGCTACCTCCCTCCTTTATGAAACCTGGTTAATGTATATACTGGAGTGCTGGGAAGGGTTTGGTGCCGGTGGTGAGTGGGAGGATGCAGAGGAAGATGCTCTGTGAACCCCTCCTGGACCTATCGGGCAGGACTGGACTCCACACGCGGGCAATCATTTGCCACCTCTACATCCAGTCTCTTTTCTCTCGGCAAGGTCCAAAGCAGCCTTGTGCCCTATGGAGTACGCTCCATGTAGCTGCATAGCCTTGTTTTAAATGACAGGGCTCAAAAACCATTCCCATAACAGACTCCTCCCAGATGAACGGATTTCTCCTCCCTGAAAAGGTTTCCCAGAATCTGCCTTTAGTGCCTTTTTGTTCATTTTTCATCCTATTATTCCTAATTATTCCATAGGGAACAACTTGTCCCTTCCTGCGTGTGCTCCCTCTGAATGCTCGCAGGAGCTCCTCTCCACCTCCTTTAGCCAGAGAGATGCAATTAGAGATCTGAGTCTTTCCTCAGTACAACGCAGCACTCCCAGCCTTTGAATGACTTTTTGGCTGCTCTTTTACTGTCTTCTGACTTCTCAGTAACTTGGTGCTGTCTAGCAATGCACACAGCATTCTCCGAGTAGCACAATGTCTCAGTCACCCTGCTCCTGTGCAACACTACATCCTGGCTTGCCTACTGCGGGATCCAGAAGGTGGAAATGGTCCCTCGGACTGGGTAAGGCCGAGTGGACTCATCCACAAACATGAACATATGCGGTAATTTCTTCTCACGCTGAACCTTCCACGTTATTGCAAGCAGTTGGAGAAAAACAAACCAACCAACCTGAGACATCTCACTGAATACTGTATTAACTCAGATACCACAATTTAGAGCTCAAGCAACTTTCAGGTGTGTCTCCGCTCTATTTTCAGTCATTCCCGAACTTTGAGAGTATCTGCCACAACTTCATTTGCAAAATTCACGTAAGGGTCATGACTCCCTGAGCTGCTTCTGGACGTATTCTCTGATCAGCAGGGGAGAACACCCAGCAAGCGCAGTTAAACCAGTGCAGGTGGTTCATGTGGATGCTTAAACCAATTAATCTCAAAGTTAAACTGGTTTAACCAGCAATTAGACAAACTGAATTAGACAAAACCTGAGCCCGCAGTCGGCTTTCACAGAAAGTTTTCCAGATTGCACTAGTTCAAATACAACCAAATCAGTTTTCTTAGAACAGACATATAGCTTTGACAAAAAAGAAAAGCTTACTTCCATCTGAAACTGACCCAGTCACAAGACACCGAGCCCATCTTACAAGCCAGAACACAACTATTGTCTACTGCTAGAGACATGGGGAGAAGAGACAGACACAGGAGACAAATCTGGGCTCCATGTTCTCCACTGACTCTCTGGCTGCCATACTCACACAGAAACAACCTTCTGTTTTGAACAGCTCTGCCTTTGTATCCCACTTTCTCAGTTTTCTAGTAACAAGGATCTTCGGACAGGACTGGAAGGCCCTTCATTCTTTACAGTTCATCTTCTGTTGGTGCTTTCTCCCCACCTGAAGATCATAACCCCTCCCAAAGCAAACTGTGAAGTCCGAAGTCTGCAAGGTCAGGCACAGAGTAAGCAGCAGAAACAAATGAACGCCTGGAGGACACATACACCATTTTTGTATTCCAACACATTTCTCAAGTGCGAGTAAAGGAAGGAAACAAGCAGAAGGCAAATTCCCAACATGACCTACCATGATCCCAATTCTGAGGACTTCTCCCAGCAAAAAGGGAGCAGAACCTCATGACAGCTCTGGCCAAACTAAGAGACCCTCTCCTCTCTGGTCTCCCACCACAGGATGAGCAGTGCTCCTTACAGCACAAGTGCTGCTCCACACCACTGAGCCAATCCTAGTAACCTGGCAAGTTAAAAGCTTCCAAAATTCAGACCTTGGTAAAGTATCTATGCTCCCTAGAATGCAAATCCAAGTCTTGAAGGGGGAAGGAGAAATAGGAGCAAAAGCTTGGCATCTAGGGTAAATACGCATGCTCCAGATGTGCTTCTCTCCTTTTAATGAAGCATAAGTACATCAGACAAAAGTCAGCCTGTGAGCAGACACAGCATGAATAGCCCCTCTGAGCAGAAAACCTTGTAACCACGTTTAAGACTCATTAAAAGCTGCAGCTCGTAATTCCACTAGCTGGCCAACCAGCTCCTCTTCTCACCGACTTTCCAGATTGCTCCATTTTAGGGCTTTACATTTTATTTTGCTTTTTCAGCTGCTAAGCTGAGTTTTTAAGTCTTTGGGAGAATCTCATCTACCAGACAATGCCGCATGTTTGCTTAACATCCATCATTAGTGCAACTACAACCAGTGCTGCCTTGGAGGTGACCATTACTCAGACGAGGGACAGGGCCAGTCAATCCCTCTCTTTGGTCGTCACAGCAAGAAAGCTCCAGGTTTGATGCCAAAACCACACTATAAAAAGGGGAAGGGGAGATGGGCTGGGAGTTACGGGTGGCTGTGGCCTTTCCGTTTGCACGACTTGGCTCTGCAGCCATGGTCCAGCCCACTGCTGTGCACAGGCTGGCATCAAATGGTTGCACAAATGACTGCAATTTTACCTCATTCTCAATTCCAGGGCTTTAAACCTGTGCTAACTCTGCTTTGCCCACTTCCCCACTCTTAATGCCTTGCAGACAGACAACACAATGAGCCTGGAGTTGGCAAATCCCACAGAAGTAATCAGCCTGTCCCTTAGCAAAGGAGTGTTGGAGCGTTCTTTTCAAAGCAATGCAAGGGTTTTGCACGTTCGCCTGAGCATCAAAGAGCCTGTGAGTGGCTCTCAGGGTCTCAGGCGAAGCGAGCAAGAAGGTATAACGTGCCATTAGGAGAAAGAACTACAAATCCTGTCCCCAGCTCTGCCCATCAGCTGAGCTGCACAGTACACACTCTGCAGCCTCAAAAGCTAATCTTGCTTTGGATTAATCCTCCAGCCAAGTTTTCTTGCTGCAGGATACCTTGTGCTTTTCACTGGGAACAGCAGCACAGCACAAACACTTTGTAATCGGCACACATCTCACTTGGGGTTTTGTTTGTAGTTTGAGACTTAGTTATTGTTTGTTACAGGTTTCTCGTGCACTGCAAGTGCAAACAGATGTGTTACCATGGACCCAACTGATGGCTGAGCAGGAAGGATTTGTACGGGAGAAAATAAAACCAGCAAGAAGAAAGTTGGCCCTACAACCAACACCTCCATTTGCAAAAGCCACTGCCAGAGAAATAAGATGTCCAAGTGCCTCTGCCTTGGCAGCTCATCTTCAAGTGCTGCTACCCCTGCAGATGTCAGTGGGGGTTGCAGACCGTGTCTTTTAAGATAGCCATATGGAAAACTTACATTTAGGAAACTAGTTTTGCGCTGATGCCAGTAACAGTACCAAGAGGTCAACCCAAATGCTAGACTCAAGCTAATAGTAGGTCCTGTTTCCAGGCTGAGAAGAGCAAGACAGCCGGGTGCAAAGAGCTATCCTCAGTGACCTTGACCTAGGGAAGGTCTCTAGCATGCAAACTGTTCCCCTGTCTGAGCCCCATGGCAGTGAAGCTGTCAGTTAGTGCCTGTCAGGTTCAAGGCACCTGCAAACAAAGCCTGAGAGACTGGGTTTGCCATTTCTCATGTCTTGGGACTGGCAACTTCTATTATGACCAGAGATGGGCAGGTAGGATCTTGGTTTAACATCTGTTCAACAGCAGCACTTCAAAGAGGGCCCCCAGTCTCACCATTGCATTGTCAGCAACCAGAAAACACCCCTGCGCTGTTGAAGGGCTTCAGCCTCCAGCCTGCCTGCTCGGAGCTGAGCGAGTCCATCCTCCCGAATCTCCGATGACGCTCTGCTGCCAGTGTGACCGCAGCTCCAGAGCACGCTACTGGAAGCAGGAGAGACTACTTCAGAAATAAGAATTTGCTTCAATTTGCCTCCGGGATACAAGTCCCAGTGATGAAAAATTAATAGTTTGGCACCAGAAGCTGGGAATTGTCCAAGAGGCACCAAACCTGACAGCCTGCAGAGATCCCGTCCAGCAGCCCATGAACTACAGGCACTGGACACAGCAGAGCACTGGCCTTGGTGGACAGCAGAGTGACTGAGATGTTTTTGCGTCATGATGATCTCTAATTGCATTTGGGGTGAGCCAGTAAGTGTGAACATTTAAGGGCCCGTGGCCTTCCTAGCCAGAACGATTCAGCAACATAACAAGTAGTGTAATGCACTGTAGGTATTAAAAAGACATTCGTGCTACTAGAGGAAACCATTCCAAATAAAATGGGAAGATATTCTTTGCACTCAATCAGGAGCACTTACATTCAGAAGGATCTTTGAGCCCATGCATTTCTCTAAGCTTCCTTCCAACCCCAGTTTGACAAAACTGATGATCTTTGTTCCCCTGAAAAATCATACACCTTGGTTTGTCCTTGGCCTTGTGAAGGTTATTTTGAGTGTGTGTACTGAGAAACTTTTTTACAAAAAGTTTAGGTACAAGGCTTCTCAACGGCAGCTGGCAGACCCTGGCAAGCTTGCTGGTGGCCCACAGACATCTGTGTTGCCACTGCTTGCTTGCTTTTCCTGGTTTCTAGCTTTTCCATATAAGCAATTGCTGTGGTTCCCATAAGGATATTATTGAATTGCAAATGGGTTACTCTAGAATAAGTTTGAGAACGCCCGATGTACAAAATTCACAGAGAAGCTAATTATCACTGGGAATTCAGAAAGGAAGTTATGTTGTAAAAAAAAAAAATCCAAGAAATGTAACAATTACAGACATTTTCTGCCATGAACCATTTCTCTTAGTTTTAAATCAAGCTTATAATCACTAGCTAACATGTTAAACTCAAAACTGGGAGTGGAAATAGAAGAATAACTTTTGTTTTTTGGAAAAAACGTGTATGAAAAAGTTAAAAATAAAATTAAAAAAACCCTTAAAGTCTCCCTTCTTGATTTCTAAAGATACTGGTGTTCATAAAACACAGCTGCCCTGATAACATGCACTGTATGTCAAGAAGGCTGCAGACAAACGCCCTCAAGGTGTACAGTTATTCAAAGGAGCAAAGTCCAGTGCAGAACTGGTCTGTTCAATGTAGTCTGATTATCCATGGCAAGATGGCCCAGGGGACAAGAGGAAAGGTGGGGTGGAGGAGAAACAAAAGAAACTTCAAGTCACTTTAGATCTCAGCTGCCTGAAGACTTTAGAACATCAGCCTCCCATTGGTCTGCCCACTTGAAAACATTAGAAAGTCTGTCAAGTCCACACACTATCTATGGAAAGGAGCACGTTCCTGGCAGAGGGCTGTCTCTCTCACGTGCTCAGCTTTCCTTTCAAACTTAATTTTATATATATTTATATTTTTATATATATATATAAAAAAGCACTTGGTTTCCAGGGGCATTCATAATGAGGTCCACAGTGTTTAGAACTTAAAATTCTTTTTCTTTGTTTGGAACAGTGTTTTAAAGTTTTGTTTTAATTAAAAGACAGTCTTAAAGCATGTTGGACTTCAAAAACATGAGTTTGTTCATGTCTTCTGGACTGAGTAGCCGTCTCCTTTTGATTAAGAGAGCCTGCTCACACATATTTACACATTCGCTTCTGGCACCAACAGCAGGCACTGCTAAGAGCCAAAAGGCTAGCTTGGCTAGTTTTGTATGCTTTTGGGTAACACACGACCAGTACTGAAACAGGTCAGGGGTGGCCTGGAAGAGAGGTTCTTGCAAATAATCATAGACTTCATTTTTCCCGAACCAATCTTCTTCCTGAGCTGCTGTGGCTTCCCCTGCTGCCCGAGGCTTCTTGGTTGAAGGTTCAAATTCTGTTTCTTCTGCCCAGGACTCTTTCACCTCATTGATCAACTCACAGACCTTGCCAATGATCTCTTCGTGCTGGTATGGTGGGACGGGCCGCAGCTTTTGCTGAGGGTCTAAGATCATGGCTACCTTGTGTGCCGAATGAACTTTGAAGTTCTCCTTCAGCGCCTCCAAGAAGAGGTGGCAGAGTTTGCTGACTACGCCAGCATCGTTAGCTTTGGAAGTGAACAGTTTCTCCAGTTTGACGTAGGTGGGCAGTACCAGCTGCAAGGTGGGCCGGCTCTCGTTGCTCAACTCAATCACTGCCTGTTTCACCGGAGCCAAAATGGCTGCCAGGTTGCTGAGCAGGTGTTTGTTCAGGTTTTGGATGAGGTTCATCTTCTTGGCCCTGCTGTAGAACTCGCAGATCTGCTCGTAGCGCTCGTGGACGAGCAGGAGGGAGTCGGTGACCGAGTTCCAGCAGGGTGGGGGAGAGGTCTCTTCCAGGGAGCCAAAGGTCTCCTTCGAGAGGCCTGTGGATCCTGCCAGATCTTCACAGACATTCAGGAGCTCGATCACTTCGTGCATATTGCGAGCCTGTAGTGTTCGCTTGTTCAGCACACTCTGCACTACCGAGTTCAAGGCACAGGCCGAACAGCGCAAGCACATGCCTGCCTTGGAGAACGCAGAGGAATTGACTTTGCAGTCTGTGACGTACACTGTCCTGATCTCCGACATCACAAACTCCGAGAGCACATTCTGTACCCAGTGGTGGATAAAATCACCATTATCTCGAATGTCTACACCCTTAATTCCCAGGACGTAACTCTTGATGTGGTTGCCTTCCACCTGATAAGCTGTCAGGATGTAGCAAGAATCGGGGCCGATGCTCTGTGAGTGGCAAGTGACACCGATGCCAAGGCATGCGTTGCTGCCCAGGGCACAGGTGACTTTCACCTTCACTTGGTTGTACATCCGAGGCAAATGCTTCAGAGCCAGTGTGTTGAAATTGCCAAGGATTTCGGTGACAGAGAAGGCACCATAGCGTGCTCCACTATCCACCAGGGTCTGTGCTAGCTTGATGAATTCCTTCCCGCTCACCACGCTCAGAGCCCCAAGGTCAGTGCACATCACCCTCAGGAGCCTCTCGGCAATGTTCTGCCGCTCCTTCTCTGGGATCACGCTGTTCCCTACAGAACCACTTGCGGATGCTGCAGTGAAATACAAGGAGGGAGAGAAAGCACCAGGTGAGAATTGCTCCTCTGCAGCAGGAGAGAGAAGGAAGTCACAAAACAATTCTGAGAGAGACCCAAAGAGGTGGAACATGCCCAGATGGTTGTAGAGGCATCTCCAACCCTGGATTTCTTTCCCCAAGGGTTTCTGGGCGGAGGAACCTCCAGGGACAGGCCTTGCTCTTGCTTAAGAGCAGCAAGGAGCTTATCTGTATGCTTTCCCTGGTGTGGGGACCAAGACGGAGCACACGCTATCTACTCACAATCCACTGCCTTAACCAATGGCATCTCTGTGGTGTTCATTGAGGAACTGCGTACATAAGTTATAATCATGTGTACCGTTTGCCATCCATGTCTACAGGCTGGGGGTCACAGCTTAGCCCAGCTGGAAAGCCGGACATCTTTCCATTTTTGTGATTTGAGCCTTTTCTTTGAGACAGTTATTTTAAGAGGAGTTGCTTCAGTAAAGCATACAACTTCTCCCACCATCTCAAACAGTGCTGAAGCCCAAATTTCCATTTCTTCCTCTGAACTCCAGCAACCCCACTTTTTGTGGCTGATTTCGGGCAACGTGAATGTCATTTTTGGCCATACCAGAACACAAAAGCACCATGGTTTCATATCACCCTTCCCCCAGACTGCTCAGCTCAAGTGCTTTGGAACTGATTTCCCACAGGGCTGTATTTTACCTTTTCCCGTGGTGAAGCACAAGCTCATGGATGAGCTGGGGATAAAGCCAGACGCTGGCTGCCTGCCAGCACAGGGAGTGACAGCTATGCCTATGTCACAGCATGATGACTGGATTAATTTTTTAACCCCAGGCCGAGAATTCTGACTTTGGATCAGAAGTTAACTTTTCCCAGGAGTTCTCAAATGCATCTTCCTTACAAACCTTTCCTACCGCCTCCCCAGGGTTCCCAGTACTTTTTGCATACGAGTGCTCCTGTAATGGGAATGAATGCTCTGCTCTGCAGGATAGTACATAAATTACAGATGAAATCAAGTGCAGTTAGGCGAGAACAAGGGCCTTGTGCAATGCCCATCACTGCTGCACCCTCTCTGACAGTCACTTGTTCAAAGCGGACAGGTAAGCCTGGGACAGAAGTGCAAATACTGCTACGTACTATTGTTGGCGTTATTTCTTTGGAGCTGTGGTTTCCACTTTTCTTCAACAACAGCTAGAGGTGATCTGGGCTGGCTAGAGGCAATATTGTTCTCGTTGTCAGCTGTGGGAAAGAGACAGGGAGGTGTTAGAAGCACAAGATAATAATGCTTAAGGCACAAAGAAGGGGAAACAGTACCCATCTGCTTAGCATTTATTTATGGTTCCCTTAACTAAGGGGACAACAATCTACTACGTTCTCTGTAGCTTTTAAGCAGTTTTCAGTGAGATAGCACAGTACTGTCAGAAACCTCGAAAACCATCTTTGGACTTGCAACCTATCACCTCCCAAAATGTGGCTGAAATGACAATGGCTTTTTCTGTGCATCAGTGACATTGATGCCATCAGCACACCTTGAGAAATGTCTCCCAATCAGCCGAAGCTGCACACCAGGAGGAATAGATGTTCCCTGTGCAGCCTGACTTGGACAATTTGCTTGCTTTCAAAATGAAAGCAGCTGTAACAAACATTTATCCTTCTTTTGCTGTACTGCCTCTTTCCGCACCGCAGGTGGCTTCCCTTTTCTTTACTGTTAAGTACTTTGTTTTTCAAACTATGCTCAACTCCTCTGTATCTAAGGATCTTATTACAATCTTCATATATGGTTTCCTCCCACTATACAGAGGGGGCCAATCTCCTCTAGCACTGCTCACTACTGTCTCAGACTGGAAACAAAAAGAAAAAAACCCAAGTTTCTGGAGTGTGACCAAAGATCGTTCCTCCCTATCGCTGCAAAGATACCAACTGCCCTAGGGGTCTTTGTGTTCATGCTCCCATTTCAGTATATGTAACTGGGCTAAACAAATTGGCTGCCAATCTGATGGGATATTTCACAGAAATGCAGTCAAGATCACTAAATTCTGTATTGTATCCATGTTCTTTCCTCTCCTCTGTCCCAAGAACTTCTCCCCACACTCTAGAGGAAATTTTCTAGTTCTTAGTATGCTTCACTATGAAATTGTGCTCTGAAATAGGCTGTGAAGCAACAATAAAGTGCACAATGAAGACAGGTAGAAGAGGAAGGAGAAAGATGGAGAGACTGATGACCAGGCTGAACAGAAGGATGGAATTAAAAACAATGAAGACAAAACAGGTCCATCACAGCTAGACTCATCTCACCTATTTTGGACATCTCTGTTAGACACACCTCTCTTCAAAGTGGCCTTTTACACTCAGTGGTGCAAAACAGGCTTAAGAGTGTGATTCATTCACCCAGGCAGAACTAGATGCCTCTTGTAGTAGAAGATCCATCATGCTCTGAACTCACCTGGAGTCAATGACTTCTTCTCCACTGATTATAAAGGGAGTCCAAGTTGACCAGCTCAGGTAGCAGTATCTACCACCTAGGCACACCAGCATGCAGTGAAATGAATCCTGCCCCAGCACTCCAGACAGCAGAGCACGAATTACAGGAA